CTAAAATATTGTGAGTACTGATTAATTATTTAAATTTCTGATTATAATTTATTTCACTTATTTAATAAAGTATTGAATTTTCTTTTATGACTTTTTCTTATTTCATATTTCTGCCCCTAAAATAAATTCTTCCTTGTTATCTGAAATAAAGTTTGTTAAGTTTATTTTAGTTGCTGCTTCAGGTGATCAGAATTTGGAAGCTTAGGGTAATAACTGCTCTGATACTAATGAAAGGAAATAAAGTTGTGAGCTGTAGCCTTTATTTCTGGACAATCAGTGGATTCCGTTTTAAATTGGCAAAGGAATGGTACATGTTTTACATCATTTATAGCAATTGATAACATCCAAAAAAAGTGAGGATTTGCTTTTCTTTTTTCTTTTTCTTTTTCTTTTTCTTTTTTTTTTTTTTTGGAGAGGTTTTTGCTATAGGGCGTGTGTGCTTGCCAGAAAGAGAGAGAGAGAGACAGAAAGCAAGAAATCAGCCCCTGGGGGGATGGCCATGCCACAATCCCTTTTCCTCCATTCTCCTCTCGGAATATTGGGTGGGCATGCACGCACATGCATGCGCCCGGCGTGAGTTTAAGCCGCCGGGTCCGGGACTCGAACCACGGTCTACTACGTGGGAGTCCAGCAACATAGCCATTACGCTAACTGCTGGTCCCCAGGATTTGCTTTTCTAAAGCAATTTATATAACTTAAAACCTTAAAAAGAGAGTATAAGGAGAGCATTATAATTATTTCCAAGGAAATTTTCTCCAAAAAGTTTTTTGCAAGGAAATTGTCAACAGGCTCATGGACTAATGACCTTAGGGGTTTTCAAAGAATGGTATAGCAGTTGCAAGTTGATATAAATTAAAAGGTGACAAAAGCATACATCTGTAAGAAGTAAAATTGTGTATCTGAGTGTCCTGGCTTACTGTGGATTAATTTCAGCTAGGACATAATTTTGGCATCATGATTCATGAACAGAAAGAAAATACCTTAAGTTTGATGAACCCAAACTATTCAGGTACATGCACAAAAGTAAGCATGCCTTTGTCTGTGGAATTATTGTTACCTAATTACATAAGGGTTTGCCAAGTCAAGACCACATGCATATGACAAAAAATTCATTCAAGAAGCCAGAGTAGCCACCTTTGGCATCCCTTTGAATAGAGTCACAGTGGGTATAGGGACTGAGAAATCCATTTCAGCTATTTCTGAATTCTTTCTTTTTCTTTATACAGGACTGGCCAGAGCCAAGTCAGTTCCCACAAAGACTTACTCAAACGAAGTTGTCACACTCTGGTACCGGCCACCTGATGTGCTTCTAGGTTCCTCAGAGTACTCAACACAGATTGACATGTGGTAAATATATACAAGTGTTACTGCCATATTTAATTTTGAAAAAAAGAAAATTAGCTGTTAACATAGTATACTGATAGGTATCTGACTTTCAAGGTGTTATTATTTTAAAGATCCACAGTATAGTCAGTGATTAAGAGTTCTGGTCTGAGAGTAAGGTTACCTAGGTTTAAATACCAATTTTACCACTTGTAACTATATAATAACCTTATTCATGGCTAGGTGGTAATTCAGTGGGCACAGAACTGGACTCACATGAGGAAGGTCCTGGGTTTGTATCCTGAGGCCACCCTGAACACACCAAGCATGTGTGTACACACCTGTGATCTGGGCTGGCCAGGACTTGGAATGGGTTGCAGTGTGAAGACCTTGTTAGGAGTGTTTGTCTCTTTATCTTTTATGGAAGAAATAGTGAATAAACTTACAAAATAATAACTTTATTCAAATTACCAGTCCGTGAGATTTGAACCATGGTCGGCCATGTGGGAGTCCACTAACGTAACTATTTAAGAAAATGTGAATAATCACTATAACCAAAGATTTGTAGATGTTGAGGTTAAATGAGCTAATATATAGCAAACATTCAGAAGAGTGTCTGATATATAATAATTTAAAACAGAATTACTGTTTTTATCATTATTTATTAGCATTCACCAAAATCATGATAACCTTTGTGATCAGTGGGTGACTGTCCATTGATAACCTGTAGGGTACAGTGTAACTCCTCAGTCTGATACTTAAGGAGTTTCCTGAGATGTCTCTAAATGACCTTTTCCAGTTTATTCAGACTTTTTATCAGCACAGACATTCCCTTTTGGCCAGATGGCCTACTCACTATACCTCATAAATAACCTGGACTTTCTTGCCTTTGCTCTTGCACTTACATATGTCTTTAGGACTCATCCATGTTTCATTATGTATCATAATTTCCTTCCTTTTGAGGCTGAGTGATACCCATTGTATATATGTGCCACATTTTGTTTATCCATTTATCCACAAATGGACACTTTGGTTGTTTACACCTTTTGCCTTGTATGGACTGAGCATTCAAATCTGTCTTCATGGGCTAGCCAGTGGTTTGTGATTAAAGGCAGCTAGATCCCACATGCCGACTGCATGATTTGAACCCCCAACCTGGTGGCTTGAAAAACAACACAGGGATAGAACCAACAGATGGTTTAATGGGTTTTTTAATTGTGCTCCCACATGGCCAACAGTGGTTCAAATCTCAGGCCTAGTGGCTTGAAACTCATGCCAGGTGCATGTGTGTATGTAGGCCCAAAATCCTGAGAGGAGAATGGAGGAAAAGGGATTACAGTGTGGCCTCACTTTCTGTCTCTCTCTGTCTCTCTGGCGAGTGCACATGCCCTGCAGCAAAAATCTCTCAAAAAGAAAAAAAAAAAAAACACACAGGGTGTATGTGCATAAGTGCCCAAAATCCCAAGAAGAGAATGGAGGAGAAGGGATTGCAGTGCAGTCATCCCCTCTTGGGAGGCAGGGATGTACTTTCTCACTTTCTCCCTCTCTCTTGCTCCCTATCTCCCTGGTGAGCAGATGTTCCCTATAGCAAAAATTTTAAAACAAACAAAAAAATCCCCAAATACCTCTTTATGACTCTAGTTTCAGTTCTTTAGGGGTGGTATGTACCTAGGAATATAATTGTTGAATCAGGCAGTAATTCTTACTTTAATTTTATGAAGAACCATCACACTGTTTTCCATAGTAATTGTATCATTTTCCTTTTTATATAGTGTTTTAATATGTAAAATTAAATTTTTTACACAGTTGCTAGATTGTAAACCTTTTTTTTAAAGATCTAGTTTTAGCCATCATCATCACTATTGTTATTTTAATTTGACCAGAGACAAACAGAGACAGAGAGAGAGAGAGAGAGAAAGTGAAAAAGTAAGTCACCAGGTCAAGGACTTGAACCATGGTCAGCCATGTAGGAGTCCAGTTCATTTAATCACCATACCACCTGCTGACTCCAGATTATAAACCCTTTAATATAGGGATTATGTTTGTTTTGTTTTGTTGAGATTTTTTTGCCATGGGACATGTGTGTTCGCCAGAGAGAGGGTGGGAGGAGTGAGAAATCAGCCTCCAAGGGGGATGGTCACGCCTTATTTTTTCTCTTCTATTCTCCTGGACTTCTGGGCATGTACACATATGTGCCCAATGTGATTTTTCAGGCCTCCATCTGGGAATCGAACCACAGTCAGTCATGTGGAAGTCCAGTGCCTTAACTACCATGCCACCTGCTGGCCCTGGAAATGCTATGTTTTAACCTTAGGTATATTTGCCCAGTTCTTACATGGCAATATCTGTTCACTGAGCCTCTGTATGTTTTTCATTCTTTCTTTTATATACACACATCATCATGCTCCTCCAAGTTCTTTCTTTGCTTCCTAAATCAAAGGCCTTAAATAATTTGTTTCTCTATCCATACTACCCATTATCCTAGCTCAAGCCACTGTCATCTCCTAGACTACCATAATGATCAAATTTGTTTTCCCTTCTTCTGTGCAGCCCCTTCAGTTCATGGTCCACACTATATCTAGTATAGGTGGGATAATTCAAGCACTTAAACACTGTAAATATTCAGTCACTGTTAGCTATTGTAAGCATTATTCTTCAAGAATTGTGCAGAGAAGAGGTAGAAAAAATGCATATAACAATATGGTAGTTGAAACAAATAGGGTAAATAGTAACAAACTGTTGGGTCTAAAAATTGAAAGTTTCCTAGGAGACTGGTACAAAATTCTCTAGAGAGGTTATCTCAAGGAAAATATTCTTATGCTTCATAAAATATAAATGGATTGCTTATTATTTTCTTTTTGTGATATATTCTAAAGGGGTGTTGGTTGCATTTTCTTTGAAATGGCTTCTGGAAGACCTCTGTTTCCAGGATCAACTGTGGAAGATGAACTACACTTAATTTTCCGACTGCTAGGTAACAAAAAAATCTATTTCAGTGATTTTGTACCTATAATTGAATAGCTAGATAAGATTATATCTTTAAAAAATATTTAAACATTTTTACTAAGACTAGCATAAATAGTTGTTATTTATAAGAGTTAGAATTGACATAATTATTATAAAGATAGATCCTTGCAGGTTCTTTTCATGAACTAAATTTTATTTTTGTAATAGGATTTTTATGGAAGAGCAAAGAGGAGAAATAATATTGAAACCTGATCTATATTGTTAGGGAATATTTTTAGCTTGAGTAGTGTCGACTGGTTAGAAAGTGATGTCAACTGGTTAGAAAGTGGTGTCAATTGGTTAGAAATTGGTGTCAACTGGTTAGAAAATGGTGTCAACTGGTTATCATATTTATGGCATCATTGCATAGTCCAAACAAAACATCCTTATATGTTTCTATCATCTTCATTTCAGTTGAAATAGCTAAATAATCCAGTAAATGTAAATTACTCTCTTAAGTCACTTTCTCAGTTTTGTATATATGTATGTATGTATACAATTTACGTATATAACTTGTTTTATATTTTGTAAGGATATAATTTTATTTTTCTTAATTCAGGAACTCCATCTCAGGAAACTTGGCCAGGTGTTTCTTCGAATGATGAGTTCAAGAACTACAACTTTCCAAAATATAAACCACAGCCTCTAATTAACCATGCACCCAGGTATTTTTTTTTCCTTAAGTGAAAGGGGGAAATCCACACGATTCTTTGCAGTCTTGTGAAGCATTAGCCAGAAGCACTAGCCATGATAGGATTCAGGAAGAAGAATATATAATTTTAAAATATTTTAGGAAGTTTTTTCCTTCCTATGTTAGATTAATTTTGTGATTTGGTGACCAATAATCAACAAAGTATATAAATAGAATTGAGCTATAAATAAAATGAACATAAAGCATATGTACTGAAATTCTAGAGTTTATGTAGATAGTTTCTTCTCAGACCTACCCTCTAAAGAAGTCCAAGACTGCCTTTAAAATGTTTGTAGAATGCATTATATTTTCAGTTAGTAACACAGAATAACTAATTTGCATTTGTTGACTGCATTTTCCATCTTTCCTTTTGAAAAAAAAGTTAAAAAATTACTGAGATACCAAATAAGACCATTGTCTGTTTTCATCCAAAGCTGTCCACGTTGCCTCCAACATACCATGCCTGCTCTGTTTCTAGTTATTCTCAAACCAGGAGAGGAACAGCACAACAGTTCTGACATCAGAAATACCTTTAAAGTATTCATGTGAACCGGTGTTCTTATTGTTACTATAGTAACTAATATCATTCCAACTAAACTTGACTAATGTATGCTGGGCTTTTCATGTGTCTCTCCCAAGTAGATAAATTCTGTTTTGGTCATCTATACATTGCTTTCTATTGATAATGTTCAGTGTAGAGGGTGGAAGCTCCTCTTTGAGGCAGATTCTCCATGACCTTAGCATCTAGCTTGTCTGTACCCCGGGAGCTCTGGACATGTGCGAGAATGGCGAACCATAGAGAATCTGAAGAGTCAAGAGGATGTCTAGGCTACAGCATCTACAGGACCCGCTGAGAGCACTTGGAAGAAATACTTCTTTATTCATAATTCTATTTTTTGCCGTTGAAAGGCAGTGCAAAATAGAGCATTTGGTTTCTAATCAAGAGATTATTCCATTAAAATAATTCATAACCTCACTACTCCCAATTATGTTAATTTCATCACTATAATTGCCTGTGTTTATTAACTATATAGCATTGGTTTTGTGGGACTTATTAATGAAGTTTTATGAAGTTACTGTGACAAATTTAAATTGAACGTAATACTTTTTAGTAACCAATACTGAGCAAACCAATTTTGTCAAACAGCTCGTTCCTGCATTTCTGTTTATCCACAATGACACATTTTGGGCTCACTTAACTTAGTTTTTTTTTTTTTTTTTTTTTTTTTTTTGAGAGGTTTTTTCGCTATAGGGCACGTGCGCTCGCCAGACAGACAGAGAGAGACATAGAGACAGAAAGCGAGAAGTCACCCCCCAGGGGGGGTGGTCACGCCGCAATCCCTTCTCCTCCATTCTCCTCTCGGGATCTTGGGCACGTACGCACACGCGCCCGGCGTGAGT